GTTATAAAGATTTGGAGTCTTTAAGTTTGGTATGTGATTTTTTACATATCGTATGGTTGGTCCGGTCCATTCACTATTGTGTTTTTAAAGTCAAGGTATGTGTTGAAAATGAAAAATAGTACATGTACATCATCCTTTAAAGGAGACATATCTTTATGTGGAATATTTTTTATTCTTAAATTTGTGTCAGATTCCTTAATATTTCCATCGTTATTATTACTCATTTTATTTAATTTTACAATTTTATTACTAAACAAATCTCTCTCTCAATATATATATGTGTGTGTATATTAAAATTTCACTAACTATATTTTATTTAACTTTTTCGAATTATTTGAATATGATTTGTTGACGATTCTATTAACAATTAATATATATTTATATAGACAATCATCAGATCATTAATCAAATCACTCATACTACCGCGCAACGCGCGGTTCCCATTCAACTCATTTAACTTACATATTAATATTAATTCATATATAAATGTGATTATATAAATGTGATTATATATAAATGTAATATATATAAATGTGATTATCAACTCATATATCAAAGGTAATATTAATTCTTATTAGTTTAATATATAAATGTGATTATCAACTCATTTAACCAACTTTAATAATTAAAAAAATATTATCACGCAACACACATGTCAAAAACTAGTTTTAATAAAAACAATTTATCAATGAGTTGGCTTATCATCCTGATTGCCAACCATAATAAGCTTACATAATTGGGTCACTTGGCATCACCTGATAAGAATCAAATCTCCGGTCAAACCTAATCAATGATTTTAGTTTAAACTTACATATATACCCTTTTATTTTCTTTTTATGTTTCATTTTTATACATTTATATATTCACACAAAATTATCTTAGATTTTAAAAACATAATATCATGAAATCAGATTTGGGATAATTCAAGAACAACAATCTGGATTTCAGACAAAATCCAAGATCACAAACACAAAATTCCTTGTTTGTTTATATATCTTAAGAGACAAAAATCCGGCAAAGTAACAGTATGCACCAAGATCGTCACACTGGAATCATCAAATCTAAATCTTATATAGCCACCGACGGTTAAGTTGGTTATTTTGGCGGGAGTCGTGTTTGTTCCCAACAAACGCGACTGTTCAGATGGAAAACCATTATAGCTAAGTCTAATTTCGGCTTGTCTCAMATTAATTAATCCTGATCATACTGAATGACTTGATCACACTAAAATCATCAACAAATTATATATTTAAAATAAAAAATACGTAACTAAAACATAAATATTCAAATTAATTATTGTATAAAAAGTTATATAATTTTATGATAATTGTTAAAAATAAAATAAATAACAATAATAACGTTTTGAACATGTCGATAAAGACTTTAAATGATGTCAAATTTTGAAATAAATATGAGTTATATATTTATAATAATGGAATTTATATTTAAATATGAGTTATATATTTATAAAAATGGAATATTAAATATAAAGGTATAAAGGTTAGGTGGCTTACCAACCGTCTATATAAAGGGATGCTGGAACCAGTGAATGAAGACACACAACAATGGCTACTTTTGCCACTCCTACCACCTTCACCGGCCTCCCGGCCACCACCACTAAAAAACTGCCAAATTCGCCTTTCTTTTCCACCTCCC